ACAGAATAACTAGAAAAACAAGAACCAGGTGGTCCAGTCATCCACTCCATTACAAATGAGAATGTGCTTAAAATCACCAAGGATTCCATTGAACACAGCTTGAACAAGCCTACAAGAAATACTGCAAAACAGTTTCTAAACTTGATGTTTTATATGGCATATACATACATGGTATATACATGCATACCTATGATGCAAGTCAATGAACAGAAAAACAACTTGAGAATTCAGTGGTAGAATTTCCAAATCATGATTAAGCTCATGCAAGCTCTGTAAGTCTCCAGCAACACAGCAAAAACTAAATTCTTAATTGGAAGGCCATAAAACCAGAGTCTATGTTGAAGTGTTTATCAAAACTCGTTGAATTTTATTCCATAGCTTCTACTTCATAATCCATTACTTCATTTTAGCATCCATTTTACAGGTATTTGCAAACTTTATTGCTGTAGCCAAAACTCTGAATGAACATTTATGACTGTGCATAATTTAGAACCATTAAATATTAGTGTGCATGCCATGTTTAATGGTGAGCTTAACTAGAATTTGTAATACTGTGGTGTTTCAGAAAAACAGTACTTGCTGCAGAAGTTTTATTTCTCCACTTAAGACCTGCATTTCAAATGAAAAGCCTTCATCATACAAGGCACTTGATGCAAGTACAACACTACAGTATTTTAACAGATCCTCTTCAAAGCACTTCCCTTTGAGAAAGTACCAAACACAAGCAACGGCCACTTATTTTAAAGATGCAAGTACGATTATAGCATGAGCCACCTGTTTCTACTCTTGCACATAAAGTTGCATTTGCTTTCTCAACATTCAGTCTATTACTTACCCAATTAACAGAAGAACTGCACAAATTGTGAGGAACCCCAGAGTGTATCTGAGAGCTGTTTTGACCTGCTGTATATTAAACAAAGTTATAATAAACAGTTATATAAAGCTATAACTTTATATAACTAAGAATTATACTAAGATAAAAATAGGCTTTTATAGCTATAGTTTTTTTTAAGTTAAGATTACTCTGAACAGCCAGGAGTGATCATAACAAATGATTAAAGGGCTCATTTTTTGCCTTTTCACTTAAAGTAATATCTGCTTAGTAGATACCTAGTTCTTCCTGCAGTGCATAGAAATGCCACACAAATTATAGAAACTTTCAGTATACTAAAAAAACATACTAGCTTTCAGTAGTTACTGCTACTTACCTTTTAGAAAGCAGCACCTGAAAAGGTACTTCAGTATGGCCTACAGTACTTGAGCAGCAAGGGTACCCGAGCACCATTTTAAGGGAATACAGATAAAATAAGTTTTCTGCTATAGCAGACTTACTGAGCATGTGCTGCCATCATCTTCCTCCTTCTCCTCATAGTAGAAATAGACAAAAGGAATCCACAGAAACACACAAAACAGTATGATGGAGTATAGAGCTAGGAGAAAGATTAAGTGAAAAAAATATAACAATTTCTTAATTCCTAAATTTCATATTATAGTAGTTAATATTCTTAAGTTTTTCATTGTCAGTGCCATCCTTTAAATACTCAAAGCAGTCCATTTAACCCATTCACCAAACTCAAATTAAAACACTCATCCCAATATAGCCATAAGACACATCAGCAGAACACCACAAGTCCCAGCTTTTGGACAACCCAAAACAGGAAACAAACTATAAGACAGAACTTAAGATGTGGGATTGGCTAACTGTAAGAGTGCTGTTAAATGCATATGAGTAGTTTTCATTACAGACATCAAGTTAATGCATTTCAGTTCATTTTTTTTTCCAATGGTGCACAGTTTGAGCTAAAAGATACACTGACTATTGTGGAAGAATCCAAGGTATTTTTCATGCTTGTGTGGTGTTTTACTGTCTGAATATAGAGTCTCCATTTCCAGTAACAGCACTCCCAGGTTCTGATGCTGCCCAGAAAAGTGTTTTGAAATTTAACCTGGACTAATGAACAGGAGAAGAGAGTGATCCATTGATTCTTAACTACAAAGTGCATGGAAAGATAATGAGAATAGAGACAAAGTTAAGTCATGTCAGAAGATTAGACCAGGAGAGTTGGGGAGCAAGGGGAAGGCCTTTTCTAGGTGGCTATTTGCTGCTGGTAGGTTCTTAATTAGTTTTGAAGGGTAGGCTTTCAGGGGGAAGCTTTTTAAGGGGGAGCAGTGGGCCATACAGCTACAAGAGCCAGATATAGAACATAGTTGGTGCATTTTCTGGAAAGATGGGAAAAAATGGCACTCATTCTTGATACTAGGACTGAATACAAAAGTAGATTTCAGTGCGAGTCATCTCTTCTAAAGATATTTATCAAATGCCAAGACAGGATACTGTTATAAGAGAACACAAGTAGAAAGACAAATCAAATACTGCTACAAAAGCCAGAAAGGTGGTTTGTTGAACCTACTCCCTCAGTTTTCAGTTCCCCACACTGCAAAAGCAGCAGGGAACTAGACCTAGTGAAGCAGAAGCATTCAGCTATGTTTTTACATAACTGAAGTAGCATTTTTCCAGAGTCTGCACTGGTTGTTCACTTCAAATTGATCTAGTTATGAAAGATTCATCAGTTCCTCAAACTCAAATCACAAAAGGGAAGATAAAGACTTCTGAAAAGCATCTCTACCACCATCTGGAGGATATACTGTGAAATATTAGTCATATACAACTACAAACAGACCTGTACAGACAGACCTAAAAAAAACCCTTCAAGTTTTTTAGGTTTAAACCTGAAAGTGTAGGAAGTTTTAGCTTCAAGTGCCAGAAGTATATGTAGTTCAGGATTTGCCCAAAGCCATCCCTCAAAAAAAAACCTTAATCACTGGTGTTTTGAATAGAACCAAATGAGAAAACTAACCTTCTGTAAGCTGGTATTTGAATTAGAATTAACCACCTACTAGGCAGCTTCTATAGGTCTTAACTCTTAAACTAGTGCAGGGTATTTCCCAAAACTCTTAGAAGTATAACAGCACCCAAAGAACTTCCTGAAACTCAAATTTGTTTTTTTTCCTCCTCAAACCCTATGGGAACTAACAATCAAATGATTTTACTAAAACTAAAATCCAAAAAGGCCTAAAATTAAGTTTGATACTTTTGCCTTCTTAAATGGAAGGCAAAATTAATTTAAGTAGTGAAAATGAAGTTTATATAAGTTATCTTCTCTATTAGCTGAAGTAACAGAACCTTTCAATATATCACCCAAATCTTGAAGTTTGTCATACTTGTTTTAATTTGAAAAAAGATTTATAGTCCAACAACTTTCTAACCTGTTAGGGCAGAATCAATGGTCAGTCTAATCTATTTTAGTCACCTACCACATCAGTTTCACAAATTTGTACAAACGTGTTCACAGAAGGGTTTGAAGGCTGTTCACATAAGGAACCATAAACCTCTGCGGATGTTAATCAAACCACTAACAAGTTAACAAGTAAAAGAAAATATACCTAACTTCTGCACTGGAAAGTCTTTGTGGAAGATGAGCAAATATTTAAAGTCCACATTTTTT